GGCAGGGTTCGCATGCGGGCCCAATGGCAGGGTTCGCATGCGGTTCCAGCCCCATTTCGGCACACCCCTCACACGTTTCGTGGCCCTGTAAGGGGCTCCACCGAAGGCCCGTGGCAGGGTTCGCGTGCGGTTCCACCTCCATTTCGGCACACCCCTCACACGTTTCGTGGCCCCATAGGGAGCTCCACCGAAGGCAACAGTGGCAGGGTTCGCATGCGGTTCCACCCTCCATTTCGGCACACCCCTCACAAGTTTCGTGGCCCCATAGGGAGCTCCACCGAAGGCCCCAGAGGCAGCGCCCGCATGCAGTTCCCCCGTCCATTCGGCACACCCCTCACACGTTTCGTGGCCCCAGAGGGAGCTCCACCGAAGGCCTCAGCTTCAGGGTTCGCATGCGGTTCCAGCCATCATTCCGGCATACCGCTCACACGCTTCGTGGCCCCATGGGGGGCTCCACCGAAGGCCCCAGTGGCAGAATTTACATACGATTCCACCACGAGCTCCAGTGGCAGGGTTCGCATGCGGTTCCACCCCCAATTTCGGCATCCTCTCACACGTTTCGAGGCCCTATAGGAGGCGCCACCGGAGGCCCCAGAGGCAGGGTTCGCATTCGGTTCCACCCCCAATTTCTGCTCACCCCTCACACGCTTCGTGACCCCATAGGGAGCTCCATCGAAGGCCCCAAGGAAAGGGTTCGCATGTGGTTCCACCCGCATTCTGGCACATCCCTCACCTGTTTCGTGGCCCCAGAGGGAGCTCCACCGAAGGCCCCACCCAGAGGCAGGGTTCGCATTTCAGCACACCCCTCACAAGCATCGTGGCCCCATAGGAAGCTCCACCGAAGGCCCCAATGGCAGGGTTCGCATGCGGTTCCACCCTCATTTCGGCACACCCCTCACACGTTTCGTGACCAATTCGGGAGCTCCACCGAAGGCCCCAGTGGCAGGGTTCGCGTGCGGTTCCACCTCCATTTCGGCACACCCCTCACACGTTTCGTGGGCCCAAAGGGAAGTCCACCGGAGGCGACAGTGGCAGGGTTCGCATGCGGTTCCACCTCCATTCCAGCACACGCCTGACATGTTTCGTGGCCTCATAGGGAGCTCCACCGAAGGCCCCAGTGGGAGGGTTCGCATGTGGTTCCACCCTCATTCGGCACACCCCTCACCCGTTTCGTGGCCCCAAAGGGAGCTCCACCAAAAATCCCGATGGCAGAGTTCGCACGCCGTTGTACTCCCATTTCGGCACACCCCTCACACGCTTCGTGGCCCTGGAGGCAGCTCCACCGAAGACGATATTCAAAACGGCGGCACCCACAACTGTGGTTGAGCCCTTCGCCAGGCGAAGTGTGCCAAAGCTATATCGAACGCTAGCAAAATTCTATCAGACCTGGACCCAGTCTGGTAGGATTCGATGAAAACATGGATCGATCCCAGGTAGGATGATACCAAAGCTGGATCCAGCTCTACAAAGATGTTGCAGTAACACTGGATCGAGCTGTAGTAGAATTCCAATCAACCTGGATTCAGCCCTGAGTTGATTCTACTAGAGATCGACCCAGCCGTGGTACGATTCTATTGGAGCTGGATCGAGCCTTAATCTGAGTATGGTAGAGCTGGATCAAAGCCTCGTGG